AAGAAGATTTAAAAGAAAGATAACATCGAATGGTAAGTTTTATTTTATTTTTTTACAGGTACTTAGTTAACGGTCCCCCCCTCATTATTTTTAGGGTGAGGGGAGTAGGTAGGGGGTTAATTTTTTTTTTGGGGGGGAAGGGGTGACTAGGGGTTTGGGGACCCACCTGGGTTATTTTTTAGGCCCCCACCTGTATGGGGAGACATTAGGTCCCCCCCTTTAGCTTAGGGCCCCCCCACCCGCCAGGGTGGTCGGGGAGACATTAGGTCCACCCCCTTTTAGATAGGCCCCACCGGGGTGGGCCAGGGGAGGACCTTGGTCCCCCATTGATTTATTTGGCCCCCACCCAGCCTCAGGTGGGGGCGGGGAGGACCCTAGGTCCTTTAGTATTTGGCCCCACCCGCCGCTCAGGGTGGGGCCGGGGAGGACACAGGTCCCCCCTTTTTGTATTTAGGGCCCCCACCCGCCGCTCAGGGGTGGGGGCCGGGGAGGACCTTGTGTCCCCCCCATTGTGATTTATTTGCCCCCACCCACCGCAGGGTGGGGGCCGGGGGAGGACATTAGGTCCCCTTTAGTATTTAGGCCCCACCCGCCGCCAGTAGCCGGGAGGACACTTAGTCCCCCTTTTAGTATTTAGGGCCCCCACCCGCCGCTCAGGGGTGGGGGCCGGGGGGGAGGACATTAGGTCCCCTCCTTTTTAGTATTTAGGGCCCCCACCCGCCGCTCAGGGGTGGGGGCCGGGGGAGGACCTTAGGTTCTCCCCCCCCATTGTGATTTATTTGCCCCCACCCACCGTGCAGGGGTGGGGACCGGGGGGGAAGGACATTAGGTCCCCCCCTTTTTAGTATTTAGGGCCCCCACCCGCCGCTCAGGGGTGGGGGCCGGGGGGGAGGACCTTAGGTTCTCCCCCCCATTGTGATTTATTTGCCCCCACCCACCGTGCAGGGGTGGGGGCCGGGGGGGGAGGACATTAGGTCCCCCCCCTTTTTAGTATTTAGGGCCCCCACCCGCCGCTCAGGGGTGGGGGCCAGGGGGGAGGACCTTAGGTTCCCCCCCCCATTGTGATTTATTTGCCCCCACCGCGCAGGGGTGGGGGCCGTGGGTGGAGGACAATAGGTCCCCCCCTCATTATTTTTATGGCCCCCACCAACCGCGCAGGGGTGGGCGCGGGGGGGGAGGACAGTAGGTCCCCCCCCTCATCATCTTTATGGCCCCCACCCGCCGCCCAGGGGTGGGGGCCGGGGGGAGGACAGTAGGTCCCCCCACCTCATTATCTTTATGGCCCCCACCCGCCGCCCAGGGGTGGAGGGTGGGGGCCGGGGGGGAGGACAGTAGGTCCTCCCCCCCATTATAATTTATGGCCCCCACCCGTCGCACAGGGGTGGGGGCAATAGGTTATTTTTATTTTTTTATTTTTTTTTACAGTGAGCAGCCACTGGCTGCTCACTGCTTACTAGACATGCCCCTACTCGCTGCATAGCGAGTAGGGGCAGAATTTACTAATACTAAGTAATCTTTACTTAGTATTAGTAAATGTGGCTGAAAGACCAATTTAGGTCTTTCAGCCTTTTAGTAGATAGCTCTCTAATACCGTGGGAATTAGGGAGTTATCTACTAAGCGGCTGCAAGATGCAGCCGCGGATCGGAGTTTGCATGCCACAGTCCAGGTGTTAGTCCCCTTGAAACAACTTTTCCATCACTATTGTGGCCAGAAAGAGTCCCTGTGTGTTTTAAAATTTGCCTGCCTATTGAAGTCTATGGCGGTTCGCCCGGTTCGCGGGTTCGCGAACATTTGCCGAAATTCGCGTTTGCCATTCGCCAACCGAAAATTTCATGTTCGCGACATCACTAGTTTTGGCCTAAAATTGCTATTCACTTTGAATTCCTAACAATTCACACTTTACTAAACAACTTTGTGAGTCACTAGACAAAACAATCCAACATTTCAAACCTTTTGAAACATTTTTCTAGGAGGGGAAATACAGGTGGAAGAAAAATGAAGGAGAAAAATAGGGAAGAATAGTGAATGTATAAAAATGTTTAATTTATCAGATAAAGTTTTGAATTTAATTTGCCCCATGTTGCCGTGTTAATCAATTATAAACCTTTTAGATAGTAAATAATAATAATAATTAATAATAATTAAATTTGGAATGGAGGAGGAAGTATTAGGATTTTAAAATACCAATTTAAGGGAGCCTCGGCACTGGAAAGAGGTAAGTGAACAAAGTAAAAAAAAAATTGTATTTTTTTTAAATTCTTTATTTTGTAGATTTTTTGTAATTATAAAGACATTTCGCAGTTTAATGATGCATCAGGTAAATTATACAGGTGGTTACAAAAATGAAAGGATTAAGAGAAGTAACAGAAACTTTAACAGTGTTTGTGTCATTAAATGCTCATACATTTTGCACATTTCATCTGTATTATGGTTATAGTAGTATTTTGATCTTTTCGAACATTGGAGACACAGTACAAGTATTAACATTGATAGCGTGGGTTGGGTGGGAGCGGGGGATGGGTTCGTTGGTATCCCAGGGGTTCGGTAAGTGGGTGATGGGTGGTTGATGATCAGGTGTTTCACATCCTTTGAGGTTCGGTTGTTTCAGAGTAAGTCTTGCCCTTGGGGCTCGGTGCAGAGGGGTTCAGCGTCCAGTGTTGTACAGTCTGTAGGGTGTTTACATACCCCTGTAAATTGGCGGTCTGGACTTGCCAGTGTGTTGTGTCCCTTGTCTGTTTTTCGTCGAGTTTGGTGTTGTGACCCAAGGATAAGGACATATTTGTGGTGATTTCTGGGTGGGTAGAGATGCGGGTGGTAGGGGCGGGTTGAAGGGGTGTTGAGGAGGGGATGAGAGGGATGGTTTTGAGGGGGGGAGGAGGAGGATGGGGGCCGGGTTGGGGATCAAGTGTTGTGGGGCGCCGGAGCCGAGCGCCCCTTAGGAGGTTGTTGGGTGCTCAAAGATCCAAGGGTCCCATATTTTATTTAAGTGTTTTGTGGTGTCATGGATTAGGGCTGAGCGTTTATCCATTTTCATTGCGTCTTCAACTTTTCTTTTTTTTTTTTTTAAAGATTCTTTATTTTCATTTTCAGGTTTCATTTGCACATTTGAACATTTTGTACAGAAAGAAGAAAAGAACGGGGTGGTTATTTGGGAGAAACTAGTTGGGTACGACATTAGTTCGTTTGCTTTCGGGTCTGGCACTTTGGGCCGAAGCATCATTACTATCCCGTCTGTCGCGGATCCCTGTTTGTAGGGAGTCGTATATTCAGCTCCTCTGTTTGTGTTGTTAGTATTCATGCTTCAATGAGGAGGTCGTAGTTGGGGTGCTGAGCGTTGTGTTGGTCTTATTAGTTAACTGTCTGAGGATAGTATGGCGCTTGTATATCTGTTCCGCCAGGGTTGTCGTGGATGGTCGTTTTTAGGTGGGGGTTGGCGTCAGTGTAGGTTGCTGCTGCAGGGTGGTTAGTTGTGTGGCATTGGGCAGCAGTACCTGACTCGTGAGTAAGGTCACAAGTCAGGGGATGGGTAGGGAAGGGGGGGTGGGTGTGTCGGGGGTGGGGGGAGGGGGAAAGAGGGGGTGTTCGATGGGGCTGGTGGTAGGGTGCTGCCCTCCTGGTTACCCCCCGGAGCTCCGATTTGGTGGATTGGGTTGGGGGTTGGGTAGATGGGCTGCATTTTGTCTTTTGTTATGGGTTGATGTTGGTGGAGTGGGTTGTGTGGTAGCCTTGTATCACCATGGGAGTGCGTTGTGTCCTTCCAGCCATGGGTCCCATACTTTATGAAATGAGTTTGGGGTGTCATGGACCTGTGCTGTCAGCTTATCCATGGCTATGTTGTCAGTTATTTTAGTGTTTATTTGGAGTTGAGTGGGTATGTGTGGTGTGGACCAAGTTTCCGCTATAGCTCTGCGTGTTGCCAGTGCTATTCTAGCTATGAGTTTGTTTTCATTGCGGGTGAAGGTATCAATGGGCTTAGAGAGTAGGAGGGCCCAGGGGTCCAGGGGTATTGGCTTGTTAAGGATTCTGGTTAAGAGTGTTGTAATTGTTTTCCATAGAGGAGTGAGTTTGGGGCATGTCCACCAGCAGTGGAGGAAAGTGCCGGTTTCGCCACACAATTTCCAGCAAAGGTTATTGGGTAATCGGTTCATTGCCTTCAGGCGGAGGGGGGTGAGGTACCACCTAAAGAGCATTTTGTAAGCTTGCTCTTTGTGGGTGACACAGATTGATATGGATTTTATGGATGCCCATATGTCTGCCCATTCGGTGGGATCCTCAAGAGGTCCCAGGTCGTTTTCCCATGCTGCTATGTAAGGAAGGGCCACCTGAGTGTGGTGTGTGGTTAATGTTATGTATAGGTTTGAAATTTGGCTCTTTCTGGCTGGAGAGCGGAGGGTATCCCTCTCAAACTCAGTTAGGGTCGAGGTGGCTGCCATGCGTACCGTATCCGTTGCTGCAAAGCTTCGGAGTTGGAGATATCGAAAGTAGTCGTAGGTGGTTAGGGATTCAGGGTTGGGGATTTCTGAGTATTGTAGGAGCTTACCATTGGGGTAGAGATGTCCTAGTCGGACTATGTCTCTGTCCTCGAAGTGGGCGTAGTGTCTTGGTGTGAGGCCTGGTGGGAACATTTTGTTGCGGAGAATCGGTGTGAGGGGCGATAGGCCCGTGGAGAGATCAAACTTATCGCTGAGGCGATCCCAGAGATCTAGGGAGTGAGTGATCGTTGGTGACGTGGGTGGTGGCAGTGGTCTGTATGGTTTTGGGGTCCACATATATTGGGAGGGATGGTCCCAGCCGAAGATGAGGTGTTCCAGGTCTACCCATCGTTTGTGGGCAGGGGGGAGGTGCCAGTGCTGTATTTGTGTTAGGTGTGCGGCGTGTAGGTAGTGTGTGAGATTAGGGAGGCCTAGCCCTCCGGAAGGCTTGGGTACGTATAGTGTGGATCTGCGGACTCGGGGTCTCATTCCATTCCAGATGTATCGGTCTATGGCTGTTTGCAAGTGTTTGAGGTCTGATTTTTTACAGGGGATGGGAAGCGCTTGGAAGGCATAAAGGAATTTAGGTAGGAGATTCATTTTGACCGACGCTATTCTTCCGAGCCAGGAGATGGACATCGGTTTCCAGCGTTCTAGGTCCGAGTACGCTTTGTGCAGGAGGGGGGGATAGTTGGCAGTGTATAGAGTGGTGGTGTCGTTGGTGATTTGGATACCTAGGTATGTGATCTCTGTTGGGCAGATATGGAAGGGGAAGTTACTTCTCAAGGTGGAGGTAGTGATATTGTTGAGGTTTAGCGGCATGAGGTCTGATTTTGTGGCATTTAATTGATATCCTGAAATCGTTGAGTATTCTTGTAGGGTTGACATTAGGGCCTCTAGGGTTGGGAGGGGGTTAGTTAGGGTTAGGAGGATGTCGTCTGCGTATGCAGCGACGGTGAATGTTTCGTCCCTTATCCTGATTCCCTCGATTTGTGGGTTGATCAACTTTTCTTTTAATAGTGGTTATATAGGTGATGTCTGAGCAGCCCCATTGCTTCGCTATCACTTGTCTGGATGCTAGTGCTATCTTGGCTATTAATTTGTTTTGAGACCTAGGGGTGTTTTAATGTGGTTTGGAAAGGAGCCATATCCAGGGGTCCATGGGGATGGTTGTATGTAGGATTCTGGACACTAATTGAGCGATTTGGAGCCATAGGTGTTGTATGTGGGTGAATTCACACCATAGGTGTATATATGTGCCCTTAGTCCCGCATCCTTTCCAGCAGAGGTCGGAGTCCGATCTGCCCGTCTGTTTTAGTCTGAGGGTGGCTAAGGTACCATCTCATTAATGTTTTGTGTGCTTGTTCGTTATGGTTGACACAAATGGAGATCATAGCCATGGCCTCCCAGATGTCTCCCCAGTCTGTTGTGTTGTTGGGGGGCCTAAGTCTCTTTCCCATGCTGTTTAATAGCTCCTTCGGTGATGGTCTGGGTGATGTGTGAGTATATCATTGAAATTTGTCCGTTCTGTATGGGGCATTTAATGCAAGCTTTTTCAAATGGCGTGAGGGGGGTCGTGCCTCTTTGTTTATAGATGGCGGTATTTAAAAAGCTTTAAAGTTGTGGATATCGAAAGTAGTCGAATGTCCTGAGTGGGGTGGTCCTGGGTAGGTCGTTGAATGGCATAACCTGTCGGTCTTGGTAGAAGTGGTGGAGTCTGAACAGTTCGTTGTGTTCGAATTGCGCGTCAGTGGGTGTCATGCCTAGGGTGAATAGGGTGTTGCCTAGTATTGGCATTAAGGGGGATGGGTTGGACATGAGGGCGCGTTTGGAGGCCACCTTGTCCCAAACTTTAATAGATAAAAGTATAGCAGGGGAGGTATGGGGGAGAGGCGGCCGTGCCTGTTTTGGTACCCATACATATAGTAAGGGGAGGTCTCTGCCTAGGATAGCATGTTCGAGATCCACCCATCGTTTGGTTCCTGCTGGTGCATGTAGGTTTTGAATGTGGATTAGTTGCACTGCGTGGAAGTAGTGTGCAAGGTGCGGTAGGCCTAGTCCCCCTTGTCTGTTCGGGACATAAAGAGTCGATCACATGATTTCGGCTCTCCTATTGGCCCATATAAATTTATCTATTTGTGTTTTCAATTGTTTAAAGTCAGTGGTGGATATTTGTGAAGGTAAGGCTTGAAATAGATATAAGAAACGTAGTAGTACGTTCAGGGCCGGCCTTAGGGGTGTGCGAGCTGTGCGGCCGCACAGGGCGCCATGGCAACAGGGGCGCCGGGCGGCCAACACAGCTCGCAGGCCGGCCGAGTTCTGTATTTAAAGTGCAAGTCAAGTGCATAATACTGCTTTGCACTTGACTTGCAAATTATGAGCAGAGAGCCGCCGCCGGGAATCCACTTCTGTATGGAGGGTGGAGGAGGAGCGTGGGGGCGTTATGCCGCGTACTTGCGTAACGTCGACGTGCTCTGTCATCAGAGGGAGCCGCGGAAGGATCCAATTCAGTGAGTGAAGGCGGCACCCGGTGCTCTTCAATCGGCGGAGACAGCTCAGTCCAGGGAGCAGCAGCCTTTACTGTGAGTGACTTTTTTTTTCTTTTTTATTAAATAGGTTTTGTTGAAGAGGTGCAGGAATTTAATTAAGGGGGGCAGGGGATTGATGAAGGGGTGGCATGGATTGCATTAATTGGCAGGGGATTTATTAAGGGGGCTGATAAAGGGTGGCAGGAAACTGAAAAGGGGGGCATGGGGCTGATTAAAGGGGGCAGGTGGTTGATAAAGGAGTGGGAGGGGATTGATGAGGAGATCAGGGGGCTGATGAAATGGGGGCAGATGGCTGATAAATAGGTGGGAGGGAATTGATGAGGGGGCAGGGGACTGATGAAGGGGTGGCCAGGGGTTGGATTATTTGGCATGGGATGTATTAAGGGGGCTGATGAAGGGGAGCAGGGGGTTGAAAAGGGGGGCATGGGACTGATTAAAGGGGGGCAGGTGGGTGATAGGGGTGGGAGGGTACTGATGAGGGGGTCAGGGGGCTGATAAAAGGGGGAGGGGATTGGTGAGGGGGTCAGGGGACTGATGAATGGGGCAGAGGGCTGTTAAAGGGGTGGGAGGGGATTGATTAGGGGGTCAGGCGGCTGATGAATAGGGGCAGAGGGCTGAGTAAAGGGTGGGAGGGAATTGATGAGAGGGGCAGGGGACTGATGAAGGGGTGGCAGGAATTGATAAAGGGGTGGGAGGGGATTGATGAAGGGTAAGGGGTGGCTAGGAGTTTGACGAAGGGATGGCCAGGGCATTGATGAAGGGGAAGGGGTGGCCAGGAGTTTGATGAAGTGGTGGCCAGGGGCTTGGTGAAGATCTGGCCAGGGATTTTGGTTAAGAGGTGCAGTGGTTTTGTAGAAGGGGGTGGAGGCAACAGATTGTGAATGCTCCTAAAATAGTTTGAAGGGGTCCAAACAGAGACAGGTGAGGGGGGGGCGCCACAAGATTGTTTCGCACAGGGCACCTGAACACCTAAGGCCGGCCCTGAGTACGTTTATTTTTATGCATGCCAATCTCCCCAGCCAGGAGATGGACATCCCCTTCATGCTTGTAGGTCTAGAGACCCTTGTTGTATGAGAGGTAGGTAGTTAAGTTTGTATGTATGGGTAAGGTCGGCCGGTAGGTGTGTGCCGAGGTAGTGAATGCTATTGGATTGGAATCTGAATGGGTATGTCTGTTTCATTCTATGAAGGGTGGTGGGATCTAGGTGTATGGGAAGAACTTCTGTCTTGTCTAGGTTTAGCTTATAGCTGGATATGCGGGCGTATTCCTCCAGTGCTGAAAGTAGGTTTGGCAGGGAGTGTTGGAGGTCTGTAATGGTAAGTAGGAGATTATCTGCGTACTCTGTGGTTTTGTATGTTTCACCCCTGATTTGTATGCCTTGGACTGCTGGGTTGCCTTGCAGCATCTGCAGGAGGGGTTCTAGGGTTAAGCGAAGAGGATGGGGGAGAGGGGGCAACCCTGTTGCGTGCCATTCCGAATGAGGAATGAGGGGGGGTTGGTTAGGGGGAGGAGTACGTTTGCTGTGGGGTTCGTGTATAGTGCTTTGATGGCATCGATGAAGGTCTGTGGAAAGCTGAATTTGTGGAGAATCGCGAATAGGAAGGGCTATAATAGTCTGTCAAATGCCTTTTTGGCGTCAAGGGACATGAATAGTGTCGGGATGTGTCTTGTGTGGCTGTCCATAAAAGGTTGTATGTTCGTCTAGTATTGTCGCTGGCTTGTCTGGAGGGTCTGAAGCACTTCATAGGTGGTGGTATGTGGCTGTCTTGGGCTGTAATGGGAGTAAAGGTGGGATAAGGACGGGACTGAGGAGAGGGGAGAAAAATAGTAAATATGTGGAGAGGTTGGGAGGGATGGTGAAATCAATATTTGCGTTACCATGGGTTGAGAGGTAGTTGTCTGGGATGACTAATGTGGTTGCCCATTTCAGCCCTCTGGTGTGGTGCAACCTTTGGGGTATGGCGTTTCCTGTCGGTGTGTGGGGGAGGAGGGGAGAAAAGGGGTGGAGGGGTTTGGTTGCCCAGGGGAACCCATGATTGGTGTGTGCCAAGAGGGTCTGTTGCTGTGGAGCAATATGTGGAGCAGTTTGAATACATGAATGAATATTGCATAGAGATAACATATGCGCTTTCTCAGTGTTTAGATAACAAATTATAGGCATACCGGAATATATGTGGAACAATCTGAGCGGAGTGTGTTCGAGGCCCTACTATCCTTGGGGTGACCCCAGTGACCCCACTGAGTGCCTTCAGTGACCCTCCCGGTTCCCGCCCGTTGTCTAGTTGGTTGTAAGGCCCCTAGGTGTCGGGTGTGGGAGTCTTCTGGCCTTGTTTGATCTTGCAAGTGCCCAGTGCCTATGCTCAGGAGTGGAGTGGATTCGGAGGGCAGTGCGGTGGGGGAGAATTGGTCGCCATCAAATATAAGCTGAAATACAGAATACAGAATAGCACTATTGGGACCAAAAATGGACCACAACAAGGCAAGGAACCTAACCCTTGGAATCCTTTTTATACTGTGCCTGTAGCTTGTTAGGATGGTAGCCACGCCCCCAAAATGTCATAATTCGAACATTTTGGCGGCACGTGACGTCATTAGCGTCATGACATCAACGCCCCCTTTTCACGTCATAAAAAGGGGCGGAGCTATCGCAAGCGGCGTGAAAACGGCAGGAGTAGGAAGAGGAGAGCTGAAGGGGACCTGCCATATCATAAGAAAGGTATGTACCATGGGGAACTTCTCTGGTCACCATAGAAGGGATCCTGACACCGACATGGTCTCACTTTCGTCTGTGTCTGAGCCTGAGCCTGTTAGGCCTTGGTTCGAAGATGACCGCCCGTGCGGGGTGCGGAATAAACATGCCACCGACGGCGTTTGGACTTTTCTTTTTTTCGTGCCTCTCATGTTTCTCAAGGTCAGTGGGGTTAGTAGCTGTAGGTTTTGGGTGAAAATTCAGCTGGATGTGCAGGATGTTTGCGGATGGAAGCAAATTATAAGCTAGGGGGAGAGAGAGCTAATGGCTCACACAACTGTCTCCATGAGAGGTCAGGCTCCACCCCTCAGAAATTTTTTTTTTAACCCTTTATTCACCAGACGATGGGGGCAAAACGAACAGGTGAGAGACTGGGACATTATAACATTAGGAATACAGGTTTGCATTCCTAACGCTATTGTGTTCCTTTAGAGTAAAAGTTTACTATTTTTCCATATAATTTAAAATCAAACAGTATGAAAGTTTTTGACACAGCCTGCCTGGAAGGATTAAAGAAATCAGGACCTATCAACAGATTTCAAATTAGCTTAACGTCTAAAGAAAAAGTAGCATTGGAGGATTTAAAAGCAGATAAAGACATGATTACAGACCCAGCAGATAAGGTAGATAGTTATTATGGAAAAGGAATTCTATTTAAAAGACATTTATATACAATTGTTTGATAAACCCCTGATTTTAAAAAAA